AATCACAAATATATAAATCGCATCAGTCTTGTAAAACACCATCTTCGGGATTGTGAAATACAAATATTAACGATTTACAAATAACTCGGAAGTGTTCAGCTACTAGAGGGAGGTAATGGAGACTGTAACAACTCCACTGATCATGACTTCGTGTATCGTATTCGTAATAATTTGTGCGATGAGTTTCGTGCTCAGTATTTATCACCATTTATTATTATTATTAGTAGTAGTAGTAGTATTAGTATTATTATTACCTCGCCTCGACAAGCTTTACGAGTTATTTGAATGCCATTTCTGTATATCTACCTGTCTGTGTTTCCGCACCATCGCCATAAATACAGTGAAGCATATCTCAGCCACACTTGAACCAAATCTGACTAAACATAAAGGATGAATTATGTTGTGGTTATACAGTAAACACTTAACTTTTTGGGGAGGTCAAGGTCAAAGGCCAAGGGTGTTTTCGCGATAACTCTGGAACGAAGATTCGTAAAAGGTTGGAACTTGTATCCGATTCATCGACGAAAGATCCATCAAATTTGTAAACGACATTTCTTAATTTTTCGAGTTTCTCTAGAATATAACGATAAAGATGATGAATTTTCGACAAAAATTATTTGTTTTTTTTTTTTCTTTTTTTTTACGGGAATTAGCCCTCCAAGGCACAGGTTACTCACCCACATCGGGGCATGCAAGAGTATTCACCATAGACTGTCTCAGTTAACGATGAATGCATTGCTTTTACCACGTTCGAGTTTTCTAGTCGTTAACTCATACCAATTGCCTTGATTTCTTGAGTATCATACTCTTGCTGCCTAACTCCACTAATAAGATAAGAGTGATTCTTCAGCTGTGATCTGTTATTCTACTATGCTCTATACATATAAAATAAACGCAATTCTTTATTTTCTTCACTCCCATATCCTTGCCGCATAAATCTACTGGTGAGATGAGTGATTCTTCAGTTGTATTCCTGGCAGATATGAAAGAAAAAAAACGAATCTTTTGTTTCCTTGTTCACAGCATCCATACCGATATTCTTCCGACTACCACGCCGCAATCGACAGCTTTTATGTAACATGATGAGATTTACGAAAAACGAGTCACCTGGTGTGGATAGTGATGGAGGGTGACACGAGTGATGATTACACAATGTCTTTATGCCTCTACATTATTAATCGACGTCCCTGGTGGCTGGCTGTGTTACGTGTTCGTGTGGCTGGACCCTCGGGAGGTCCAGATTTTTTCCATCGTTGACTTATGCTTGGTAATGGTTCTGAGCTGTTTCGTATTTTCCTCTCCTTAAACCTGAGGTGAAATAATTATGCATAATAAAACTAAAAACGAAAGCTAGTTTGTGTGGTAGTCTACACACTTATATCTGTCAGGCTTTAAATAAACGGGCAGACAAAGGAAGGCAGGTAAGCTATTGTAAGTACACAGACAGGCAATTAAAACAGGTTGGCAAACACAACACGTTACAATTATCTTCAACAATCACGAACATTTTGCAAAGTGTAAACCAAGGAGGGAACAAATCAACGATGGCCAAAAGTTGTAAATATATTTTGTTCTCAAGTAAAATGAGGAAACTTATAAAGATTGCTTTTTGGTATTACAAAATTCGTGCAAAAATTTTTCTTTATTTATTGTAAATCTCAACTTGGGATAGGAAACTTATCCAAACACCACAAGCTGTCTACGAGCTCCTCCATGTGGAAAATAAGTAAACATTTGTACAAACTGACAGTGAAATTTGATTTCCATACTTTCGCGAATCCTTAAAATTTTGCACTATTGATATTTCAAGTAAGAACTTTGCAATGTTGCTAGTTTGCAATTTGGTAAATTCGTAATGTCGGGTAAGTTCTGTTATAAACGTGTGCATATGTGTTAAATAAATGACAACGTCTTAAAATGAACAGTTTGTGGGATTTCAATTACCAATATACAAAATATCACTAACCTGCCTCGTTGTTGTTGTTGTTGAAATTGTCGGACCGTAGTCCGACACGGGCCTTTGCCTATAGGCGGCCCGTTTGGTGGTTCCGGCTGGAGCTCCTGGAGCAGCCAGACCGGATTTAGGATTGGAGGTGGTCTCACTATGGAGAGCATCTTCTCTAGTGTGTCTGTGTCGCCTGCGAAATGCCTTCCTGTGACCGAAAGTGAACCTGCCTCGTTGTGGAATATATCAGAAATATTTACTTTGTATCTCACACAGTAACTGGTGAAATTACGAGCAACTTCTGTGAGTTCTGTTATATTTTACAAGGTCAGGAACGTCTACTGGAAACTGTATCCGCTGAAAGTTGGAAACGGTATACTGTACAGTATTGGGTACTGTTAGAGAGATGGGTCGATAGGGGACGACGAGACTCTAGCATGTTAAAACTGTTCCCTGATTCTAGCAATACTACATAAATACGAGAACCTTAGCTCCGGGACAGTCGTTACATAATGACAACTTTTACTATGCCTCAAAATAAATCTTAATTGAATGTGTTTAATATTTGTATCTGAGTCGAGCTTTATAATTAAAAAAAAATATATAAACAATCTTCCTTTTAACCAGTATATTAAATTCTCGATGTTTGAGATTATTTTGTAGCCACGTGAGTGGGTGAACAAATTCATGGTATAGATAAATAGTTCGAATAGAACAATGCACAGGGTTACATCAGACGGCTCGGTATCCGCCACGTCAACATTCTTAAAGATGTCACAAATAATCTTCCTTGACGTTGTGTCCTTTGATCCTATTTCTTGTGGTCCAGCGGTTATTGGGAGTGGTCCAGCAGTTGTTAGGAATGGTTCAGCTGTTGTTAGGAGTGGTTCAGCTGTTGTTGGAGTGGTCCAGCTGTTAACTGAAGCAAGGGCCAGGAAAATAACCTGCCGGAGATATAACTGAGCGAGACATGGACGAGGATGTCAGCGAGATGAAACAAACACCCAGTACATTCAAGTAATCCAAGCACGAGGCCTTCCTGCACAGTGCCGGATTTAGACCTGTGAAGGCCCATGGGCAGCCTCTTTGTGGAGGCCCCCCTCATTATAACTACCCAAGAGGGTGGGGTGGCGAGTGTAGCGAGCCTAAACATCTGGAAGTTCCGGGAGGCTCTGTAAGTCCCCCGGGAAAATTTTGAAATTTGAACACTTCTTTGGAGAATTTTGAAGCCATATGCAATTATATTGAGGAAATTAGAACATTGAGAAATTTTCAATTATCTGTATATTTATTGATAGTGTACAAATTCCCAACACACACATACACACAAAAGTGAGACATGACTGGTGTCATTCATGTGGTTTCAAGTCGACCAGCCATGATATAGATACTACCGCACATGTCAAAAATTTTCAAGAGACTTCACAGAAAAGAATATATTATTAGTTGTTACAGAGAGATGATTCTTTGCATTATTAATCAGATAAACCTCTACTCAAATAATGGTTCCGTCCAAGAATGCATGAATTTTAAAGAATGAAAATAAAAATAATCCAAATGAATAAACAAATAAATAAAATATTGTAATATGTGGAGGCCCCTGGGCAGTTGCCCACTTTGCCCACTCCTGAATCTGGCCCTGTTCCTGCATTGAATAGCGTGTGCCTGCATAACTAGAGGCCGTGCGCAAGTCTGATGGTGCCCGGACAGAATAATAAGTCGTTGCATTGTGCTGATTTTCACGAGACACGTATACAGAGGTAACACTTAGTTTACATTAGGATAACTTATCATTAAAATATACTTTTGTTATATAATGGAGGAAAAACAAAGGTTAAACAAATATTTGAGTTGTTTTTGACAGTGGAAAGAAAACAGCTGCGGCAAGAGCGAAGGTTAACCCGCTAGATCTACTGTATATGCAGTACAGTACGTGTTTGTGCAGCGGGAGGAAAAATAAATGTGTATAAGATATATATATATATATATATATATATATATATATATATATATATATATATATATATATATATATATATATATATATATATATATATATATATATATATATAATTCTGAACACACACAGATCTGATACCACTGTACGCTATTTTTGAGAAATTCATCTCTTCCCTATTATTAACTTCTATATTACGTATAGGTTATCTGGTCACTATTAAAGTATACCATTAGCACGTGTTATTTATCTTCTAATATTCATGTGATTTTGGTGGAGCAACAAGACAAGTATGATAAACTGGAGTAGCGGACACCATCTGTGCTCGTTTCCCTCTCAACATACTGTACTCGTATAGTAGTACACCGCTTCCTACTCTCCAGCAGTCATGTGGCAAACAGTGGCCATTTGTCCTTAACTATTACTGAATGTATTCTTCCATTGTGGCTCTTTTCTTCCACATACTCCCCCTTTAACTTCTCATTTTGATTGGCGTCTCTGTCTTCCCTCCTTCCTTTCATGGACACCATTTCATTAGCCCGATTTCTTCCATTCTCCCCACGTACTGTTCCCTCTCCCCTCACTGGCACAACAAATACTAAGAATTAATTCATGAATGAAGGTCACCCGCTTTACTATTCTCAGTGAAATTTCAGTGTGTGGCTGTTAGTAGCCTTACCAAGTCCTCAAAAAAAATGTTGGCGCCATTTTTTATTAAACGTATGCCTCTATGCTAAGTTAATTGCTTACGGGACGAGAAAGAATATGTGGTTGGATGCCATCCTGGATGTTGACATTAAATGTCATTTTCAAAGTAAAATTAACCAAAAATGGTCAAAATGGATATTTTGTCACTAATAGGTGAATTCACAAGTATTCAATTGTAGTTTTCATAAAAAACAAGTTGTAGTTTCATCGAATGTTTAAACGGGGCATTTTCACACTATCTTTATACATTACAGTAGATATATAGCAAAATCACACACAAAAGTACATTATCTCGGAAAACAGTACAACACAGATTACAGTGTAAGGCGAACAATGGCTATGGTGCATTTGGATGAAATGCTGGCATATATTTTGTAAATGTTCAAACAGATGTTCTAAATGCTCACCGGCCAGTTGGAGTGCAGTAGTCAGTGCGGTCACAGCCGCAGACAGCGGTGCATTTGAGGTCCCACCTGCAGCTGGTGCAGCGACCAGTCCTACACTTGGAGTTGCAGCCGCAGGTAAAACGTTACAAGCATGCATCTGAAACAAACTGTACCCTGATAAACTCCTTGGAGGTGTACTAACCTAACCTAACCTAGCTTAAGATAATGTAAGTATAATTTCGTTAAGACAGCAAAGAGAATAAGTTGATTAGTAAATTTTATCAAATATCAAATATTGTCCATAGTTTTGACAAAGATAATAAAAAGTAACATTATTTTACCAGGAAATTCATTGTTTCAATTGGACTCTCGCGCACGCGAGAGAGTGTAATAATAATAATAATAATAATAATAATAATAATAATAATAATAATAAACGGTTTATTAATAGAGTTGCAGCCGGTGGCTGAAATTATACAAACTAACATGTGATTTAGACATAATGATATGCGTTCAAACATTTACAGGGCTGTACAGTACATAAATCAGGAGTTGTTTATTATTTTAACAATACATGGGATAGTGCTATTCTTATATCTATCAGTGCGGGCTCTTATGGGCTCAATTTTGTTGTAGCGGCGGACTGCGCGAGGTGGGCGGGGGACTGCCGGTGGCAGTAGGTGGCGATGACGAGGATGGTGCAGTAGTCCACTACCAAACCTTGTTAGTGCCTGTTGGTGGAGGTCACTGAGAGATGGCATTTCCAGGGTGGAGAGAGCGTTGGTGTAGCTGGAGTATTCTGCTCTGAGGATGATTCTGCAGGCCCTTTTCTGTACCTTCTCTAGCTGACGTTGTTGGGTAGAGTTGAGAGAAGACGACCAGGCTGGTGACGCATACGTTAATTTGGGGAGAATAAAGGCGTTGTAGATAGTCCTCAGCTCTGGTATAGGTGCCCCAAGTGACCTGAGTCGTCGTAGCATGTAGAGTCGGTGTGTGTTTGTGCGTGTGTGTGTGTGTGTGTTATATTAAAACCGCATCATATAAATTATTATTTTGTTATCAACTGTGGTGATTTTTCAATTTTCTTTATTTTAATGGAGATGTCTGCTAACCCCATGTGTACGGGGTCTCCTTTGAGCTAAATTAAATGGTCTGGCGTTAGTCAAATAAAATATTAAAAGTGACGTCCCCGTCGTGAAGATGTTAATAACATTTTTGCTGACATAAGATGGGTTGTTGTGACGCTGCTTAGTGCTACTTCCCTGCCGTTTACCGGTATATAGATGAATTATGAATCACATGTCCCCAAATAATGAGGGTTAGTTCGGTTACATCTTGTGTTGGCACAGTCGAGGAGCCTCGTGACTGTCTTATTAGCTTGATGACTGCCATGTAGTGAAGACACAAAGTCCGCATTTAGAAAGGAGGTACTACCAAGGGTATGTAGTTAATGCTCGGTGGGTCGATTAAAATTCCATTTCCAATTCCTGTATAATTTCCTTCTTTTGCCAAAGCCAAAATAATTTTAGTTTTGTACACAGAACTTAATCAATCTTTATCTTGCTTTAAAAATGTGTGAAATAGTCAAGTGTTTCTAAAGTGTTAGTCGAAATAATTCGGAGCGTAAGATTTACAAAATTTCTGATCATATGCGCAAAGCATAAAACATAAACTACCAGAACCTAATCGAACTTTTATGGTAATTTTCACAAGTTAGAAAGTAGGTTGTAGATTCAGTATGGCTGATGCGCTTACTTTATATACGCTGTTACAATTACTCGATCTCGGTGTTGCTAGGCTGAGGAGTATTATTTCACACCGGGTCCTGGGAGCCCATTTTGCCGATAAGTGTTTCATGTACACTCTTTATTAATAACTTCTGCTTCAGGAACACTTCTTAGTGTAACACCTGTATTATTTCGAGTCCCTACCTGTGACACTTGTTTCACGGACAGTCCTTACTAAAAAGGCTACCAGTTTAGGAACACCTACTTCAGGGATAATCCTTACTAGGACACCTGTCTCAGGTCACTCCTTTACCATAACATCTGTTTCAGGGACATCTAGATTTTCTTGCGTATTAAACGGTTAGGTCAAAACGTATCATGTACTTCATCATTCTAGATATTCTGGACGTCATCAGATCCAGCTGTGGCAGGACACACCTCCAGTGCTAGAGGTGTATGCCGCACATTAACGAGGGACCTGACGTAACGCCCATGTGACGAAAGTCTTCAAGGTTGATAAAGCATGATTTTCAAGTGTTTCTTATATGTGTTCTGAGCGACATGTTAATAAGAGGCGTTTATACTTGAATTCAATGTTGAGTTGTTGGATATTGTCGTCATCTTCCCGTGATAGGTAAACTCCGAGGGAATCCCACAAGAGGCAACTGTTGAGAGTCGAGGGTACCTGTAGACCTGCTACGTTATGCTTCCTGAAACTACTCAGATTTAACAAACAGGATGGTAGGGAGGATGATGTACAGTAGGGAGTGACAGTTTGGCAAAAGTTTTCAAAATCTAATTGCTTGGGTTGGATTATTTGTCTATCGGCCACGCTAATTCCGAATATGTTTGAGTTTTTTACATCATTGCATTAGAAGGTTTGTGGATACTTTTGGGTTTGGCATGAAAAACGCGAAAAAACTGTAAATAATAAAGGGACTGGCAATGTGGCACAACCTGTTAAAATCAAGTTATTGAATTGGATTATTCGACTACTGTGTACACTGGTTCATAATATGCTATTGTTTTACAACTCATCTACCATGAGACCTCTGACCTTGAATCCCCTGAACTTTTCTTTTTTCTGTTCTCGTGACCTCTTCCTGACTCTCTCCACTTTCTTCCAGTTAGTCACTTTAGACTTGTCCCCTTCAGTTATGATGTTGTCTGCAGCTCTGATGGTGTTTGCGATGTGAGCCACTGCATCATTGGATACCTTGAACCTGTCAGCAGTTTCTCCGATCCTGTCCTCGGCTTCTTTCTCCCTTTTCCTTTTCTCTGATCTTGCTCTCCTGTCGACCATAGCCTTGAACTCATTGTCATTGACATCCTTATAATCACTATCTTCTTCCTGAGCACTGTCATCCACTGCCGACACTTTACACGACATCCTCTCCATCTCCTCCTTACTCTTTGACCTCATCTTCTCAGTTTTCCTCTCTTCCTCAGCCCTTTTCTTTGCCCTCTTCGCTTCCTTCTCCCTCTCTTCTTTCAGCTTGGCAGTCACAATTTTGTCAACGCCATCAATGCAGCCCTCCCTTCCCGGTTTCCTCTGGGCTGCCAGGAAGCTTTTCTCTCGTTCGTGCACTTTGCTGTCGTCTGCCACATCAAACAACTTCTCAGCTATATCCTCGAACCTCATCTTCAGCTTCCCGTTCTTCGTTTTCTTCCTTTTCTGTTTCTGTCCATTTCCCTTCATCATCATCGTCTCCCTCCGCATCCTCCACAGGTCGTGGACTCTCATTTTCACCTCTCGTTTTCTGCTTCATAAGCCAGGGCACTTCCAACTTCCTTGTTCAGAGGCAACTTGTTAGATGGCAGAGGCATCCGAACCCCGAACACCTTATCGTTACCCTGGCGCAGCTGAGTGTTGCTAATCTTAGGACGACCCATCTTGGTGGCGGCCCTTTGAACTAACTGCAAAACAACACAGAAAAAACAACTTTCAGCACTTCAATATCACCACCTATTGAACAATATTTTATTCAAAAGTACGGACTGAGATTTTGTCCTTAACTGTCCAAGTCAAGCTACTTGGGCTGAATTCGTTGATCAGTCCTGGGACGAATATTACCAACGGCGTGAATAGATTCCGTGGAATAAATTCAGGGCATTCCCGTCCAGGGAGCCTCAACAAACTCTGTAAATATTGCCATTGGCCTGCCATTGGCACATATACGGAGTTTGGTAATGTTCCATGAGCGGGAATGTCCTGAATTCATTCCACGGAATCTATCCACGCCGTTGGTAATATTGGGCCCTGGTTTTCGAAATATACGTATGTGGTGACTTGCAGCAAAAATATCGGCATAATTTGTAGCGCATTGAGTTGTAAAACAATAGCATATTATGAACCAGTGTACACAGTAGTCGAATAATCCAATTCAATAACTTGATTTTAACAGGTTGTGCCACATTGCCAGTCCCTTTATTATTTACAGTTTTTTCGCGTTTTTCATGCCAAACCCAAAAGTATCCACAAACCTTCTAATGCAATGATGTAAAAAACTCAAACATATTCGGAATTAGCGTGGCCGATAGACAAATAATCCAACCCAAGCAATTAGATTTTGAAAACTTTTGCAAAACTGTCACTCCCTAATGTACAGTAGATGGAGGGTAATAAGGGCGTGGAGGATGTGGGAGGATTTGTGTGTGTGTGTTGTAAAGGTGTTGGTGCCGTGTGTAGAGGTGTCGGCGTAATGATCTGTACTCACACACACGGTACGACATGCTATATTCATCTCCTGATTTCAAAGTCAAGGTCAGTTTCATCTCCTGAAACGTGCAACTTATATAACTGTTGAGTCTGTTATTCTGTATTCCTTTGTTTATAACACACACACACATATATATGATGTAAGTATGTATGGATGTGTATTTAGGAATAAATCTACTTTATAATAAAACAAATCCAGCACAATTATAACAATTAAAGTTTAGTATTGGGAGTTTTTATCACAGCAAGTGGCAGTATTGAAGATATTTAGAAGAGCAATTTGATAAAACAATGTGAAGAAAAATATATGATATTATGAGTGTCATAATAATGATGACGAGTGTTTAATATGAACATAAGAAAATAAGGAGTCTGCAATAGGCCGGTTGGCCTGTGCATGGCAGCTCCTGTCGAGAGTTACTACCACTCTCTATTATCCATGAATCTATCCAGCCTCCATTTGAAACTTTCCAGCGTTCCAGCACTTACTACAAAGTTCCTAAGCTTGTTCCACTCGTCCACCACCCTATTTGTAAACCAGTTCCTTCCTATCTCTCTCCTAAACCTAAACTTATCCAACTTGAATCCGTTGTTCCGAGTCCTATCCTGCTCGGATATTATAAGAACTTTATCTATATCACCTTTATTGATTCCTTTCACCCACTTGAATACTTCTATCATATCTCCCCGCACTCTTCGTCTTTCTAGGTAATGCAAGTTCAGTTTCTTTAACCTATCCTGATATGGAAGGTTTCTAAGTCCCGGAATCATTTTCGTCATTCTTCGCTGCACCGACTCTAGTGAATTGATATCCATTCTATAATAAGGGCACCAGAACTGAACCGCATAATCGAGGTGCGGCTGAATAGCGCAAGATATAGTTGCAATATGACCTCTGCACTCTTATTACTTACACTTCTCGATATAAAACCCAATAATCTGTTTCCTTATTTCGAACATTAACGCACTGTTTTTTAGGCCGTAGGTCCGGGCTTACAAGTACCCCTAGGTCTCTTTCACAAGTCGACTTCTCTCGGTTGATGTTGTTAAGGCTGTATACATTGACAGTATTTGTTCTTCCAATATTAAGTACGCTGCACTTGCTGGTGTTGAATTTCATTTGCCATTTTTCAGACCACCCCTGCAGTTTATTTAGATCCTCCTGTAATGCATTTGCACCCTGCCCTGAATTAATCTGCCGCCCTATTTTGGTGTCATCCGCAAACTTGCTCAGGTCACTGCTGATCCCTGTATCTAGATCGTTTATGTAGATTATGAACAAGAGTGGGTCTAGTACTGACCCCTGGGGAACCCCACTGGTTACACGACCCCACTCAGATTTAACACCATCTACACTGACCCTCTGTGTTCTATCGGTGAGCCATGATTTTATCCAATTTAAAACTTTCCCCTCGATACCATGAGCCTTAATTTTTCTCAGAAGCCTCTGATGCGGTACTCTGTCAAATGCTTTGCTGAAGTCTAAGTAAATAACATCGTAATTTTTGTCATTATCTACTACCTCGAAGACTTTCCTAAAAAATGTCAGCAGATTTGTTAGACAAGATTTTCCCTTTGTAAACCCATGTTGAGAGTCGTAGATTAATTTGCTTTTCTCTAAATGCGATCGGATATTATCTGCTATAATGATTCAAGAAATTTCCCCACTACTGACGTCAAACTGATCGGCCGGTAATTTGACGCTGATGCTCTGTCTCCCTTTTTGAATATGGGTACTACATTTGCCTGTTTCCACAAGTCTGGCACAACTCCTGTGTCTAATGATTTTGTAAATAAGTTTACGAGGGGTCCGCTAATCTGTTCCTTACACTCTTTCAAGACTCGAGGGAAAATTTCCTCCGGCCCTGGGGATTTTGTCTTCTTTAGTTTATTTATCTTCTTAAGAACATCCTCTTCTCTGATAGTGATATTCTTTAATTTCTCTTCTTCCTTTCCCTTAAATATCAGTTCCACCTCTGGAATTTCATCCGGAATTTCCTCTGTGAAAACTGATAAGAAGTAGCTGTTCAATGCTTTGCTTATTTCTTCACTGCCATTTATCACTTCTCCCCTCCCTGACTTTAAAGGCCCAACTTTGTCCTTGATCTTTGTTCTATATTCCTGGAAAAATCCCTTGGGATTCGCCTTGGAGTCTCTTGCTATTTTGATTTCATAGTCTCTCTTTGCTTTCCTTACATTTTTCTTAACATTCCTAGATAGTTCATTATACATATTTTTGAGCTGCTCCTCCCCTCCCTTTAATTTCTTATATATTCCTTTCTTTATTCCTATGTCATGTTTAAGTTTTCTGGTCATCCACCTTGGCTCATTCCTTTTTGACCTAATTTTTCTGTATGGTATATTTTGTTCTTGTGCTTTATGTAGTATACTAGTGAATATATTATAGTCATGATCAATTGTTGTGTCATCTATGACCTCACCCCTTCCTACTGGTGACTGACGTGACTGTTCCCAGGTGACCTCACCTAGGTACCTTCTTAACCCCTGATAATCTGCCAACCTAAAGTTTGGGACTCTGACCATATTGTCATTGTTTTTCGTTTCCCAATTTAGGGTGAACCTGATTTCTCTGTGATCACTGTTACCTAGTTCTTCCCCTACTGTGATATCTCTGATAATATTTTCTTTATTTGTTAATACTAGGTCTAATATATTGTCACCTCTAGTAGGTTCTGTAATTAGTTGTTTCAAAAAATTGTCCTGTACTGCGTCTAGGAAGTCTTCAGATTCATAGTCACCTACAATGTTGTCCCAGTCAATATTTCTGTAGTTGAAATTCCCCATAATGCACAGGTTGTTATATTTTGCTGCCCTACTCATTTCCTGCCATATGGGCTGAGCTGCTTCCTTCCCAAGACTTGGGGGCCTGTAAATCACTCCCATAATTAGTTTTTCTCTTCCTTCCGTGATTTCTACCCATACAGACTCGGTTCCTATTTCACCCTTTATTGAATTATTAATACAACATTTTAATGTATCCTTGACGAAGAGTGCGACCCCTCCCCCCTTCCTACCTTCCCTGTCCTTGTGAAAAAGGTTGTACCCTTCTATGTGGTACTCTGATAAAAAAATTTTGCTCGCCAGATTCATCCAAGTTTCGGTGATTGCTATGACGTCTACATTCTCGGTACATACAACCGCTCTCAGCAAGTCTATTTTATTTCTAACGCTCCTACTGTTTGTATAGTATACATTTAAACCTACCCTTCCCTGGTCCTGTTTTACCCCTTGTCCTGAGTAACCAATTTTACTTCCCAGGACCAGCTTGTTTTTTGACTCCCACTTACCCCGACCTCTCTCTACTGGCGAAACCCCCCCTTTGGAGTAACAATTTCACGCTCCAGGGATGCAGACAACGTCTTTACCCCCGCACGAGACAAGTGTACTCCGTCACGACTGTGCAGATAGTCGTTGCCATAGAATCGTTGCCAGTTATCAATGAATGCCCAACCATTGTTTGTACAATGTTCTTCCAGTCGGCAATTTATAGCAATTGCCCTGGACAGCCATTCACGACCAACCCCTCTTCTAGGCAAGACACCACATACTATCGGGATCCCTCCCCTATCTCTAATCTTCCCCAGCGCCTCCCTATACCTCTTGAAAAGTTCCTCACTCCTAACCTTTCCTATAGTGACGTAGAAGGCAAGAAACATGTACCCAGCCAGGGACAACATGTAGCTTTGGGCCGATGTAATGGTTCTTCTCTTAAGTGAGGGTTCTGTGCTCCTCTCTGAGTTGCCAATGTTAGTACAAGCTCACTATTTTGAGGAGAAATTGGAGAATTTACTGCTTGGTCTATTATCTTACGCAGTAAACTAAAGATGGTTTGCTTACCGCCAGCACAATGGTTCACCTGACCTCATTCCCCTTGATCCTTTCCTTACCGTCTGTGTTAAATGTGAAGTGTTTGTTCCACCGATGCCAAAATTTTTGGGGCCACTGAAGAACAGGACCCAAAACGCTGTTCTTAAAATTAACGTCGATGTGCTTGAAACTGTATGGAGAGAAATAGAATATCGTTTCGATGTTTGTAGAGCCACAGAGGCTGTCCACATTGAAATATCATAGATTGAAAAAAATAGACATTGTAATTGTGTTATTTGTTGCTCTACCTTGGTTAGTTTCTTTATGAAAAAAATTTAAACCAGATCATTAATTTGCTGTTACTGTGTGTGTGTGTGTGTGTGTGTGTGTTTGAGTGTATATATATATATATATATATATATATATATATATATATATATATATATATATATATATATATATATATATATATATATATATATATATATATATATATATATATATATATATATATAAATAATGATGTCAAAGGAAGGTAAGACATGTTTACTGTACATTTTAACGAAATGACCGAGTCCATAAACACGAATTTTGATCAATAATATAAAAAAAAATACCACAAAAGCGTACCCATTAATACACATGCCTAGCCTCTCAAATACACCACTTAGCCTGCATGTGAAGGCAGGGAGAAGGCTAGGACCATGATGACGTCACAGCTTTACAAATCCGCAACATCCATATCTTCTAGATGGAGATGTGAAAATTTTGTGAATGCTTCCGGATGCGGATGTGACATCCATCACTAATATATACATTTGACTGACAGCAGCAATTAGATTATTATTTATTTTTATAGTGACTGGTAATTTGAGTACGGCAATAATCTATGTCCAAGAGGTTTTAGACCTTACCTCGTGGTAGTGTACTGTACACCATCTTCCAGACGTCATATACAGTAAGTCATATTATCGATATTATTTTTCTAATAAATCGAGTTAAACAAATGTAGTGAGACTGAAGACTTGTATATCACACATCACCTTCTGACCTTCCTGTCTGTCATTCTCTGAGGACAGGAACCTTAACATCACTTGTTCCAGCAATGAAGAATGAGGTATTTTTATGTTGGTCAGTTGCAAATAACAACAAAACCATAATTATTTTCATGCAATATACTTTCAAATACTTCTTATTCTTAGTGAGTGATTTAGGAGTCATGTGAAGGGGAGGGAACACTTCTAACATACATGCTTCTTGTGTTACATAGAAAGTCAAACTTTGTACAAAATCGCATTTTAACACGTACGTTGAAACTTGTGCCACGGAGTCTTCTATGGGGGGCTTGAATTCTAACACATAGCCAGACCACCCTCTTCCCTAACGTACCCACCGATAATGTACAAGATATTAGGTACTTATTAAACCCCGGATAATTATTGCAAAAACAAGAATAAACAAATATTTTTTTTTCACTTTACTTATTTTTGTCCTCTTTGGCGTTTCTATCATATGGTGTTCCCCTGCCACAATATGGCTTTAAGATTTGTGACTAGTTATCCTATGTCGCTTTATACCACCCGGCATCATCCATCAGCATACTCTGCTCTCACTCACTCACCTCCCTCTACTCATTCTTCCACCTCTGTCTTGGTCTGTTCTTCTCCTGTCTCCTATATCTTCTTACTTCTGGGTCGAAGGTGGCCGATAATGTAGTGGACGATATACTCATTATTCAACGCATTTCATTGAAAGTGTGTCTGTCCTGAATAATGTGACGTCATCCCTCACCAGGCGAGTTGTTTACTGTCCTCTACACCCGGAAATAAGCAAGTCTTATATCCAACAACACGAGCCAACTTTCTCACCTGTGCATCAAGACTTGGCATTGTCCATTATATACTGAACGTAATTCGCCACTGACTAGGGTGTAGAGAAAGTGTCCAGTGATATATATATATATATATATATATATATATATATATATATATATATATATGCAAGTAAATCACTGTGGGTGCGCGTGATCCAGGAATATGCTGATAACCACAAGGAAAGAAGAAAACACGGAGTTCCCTAGAAAGACGAAGAGTGCGGGGAGATATGATAGAAGTATTCAAGTGGGTGAAAGGAATCAATAAAGGTGATATAGATAAGGTTCTTATAATATCCGAGCAGGATAGAATCGGAACAACGGATTCAAGTTGGATAAGTTTAGGTTTAGGAGGGAGGTAGGAAGGAACTGGTTTACAAATAGGGTGGTGGACGAGTGGAACAAGCTTAGCAACCTTGTAGTAAGTGCTGGAACGCTGGAAAGTTTCAAAGGGAGGCTGGATAGATTCATGGATGATAGAGAACGGTAGTAACTCTCGACAGGAGCTGCCATGCACTGGCCAACCGGCCTAGTGCAGACTCCTTATTTTCTTATGTTCTTATATATATATATATATATATATATATATATATATATATATATATATATATATATATATATATATATATATGTTTCATTTCATTAGTTATGTCACTCCTCGGGGACAATGAAAAGTCACTGACCTGCCGGTTGTCACCAAGCTAACCAAAAGTATCCTTAGTGCCGCGTGCAAACTACTGTAAGTTGCCATATATGAAGATTATCATAATTAATCTAAGAGACACTTAGCCTGGTAGCATGGGGCTCACCTGTGTTAATCTAGACAGTAGCGAGAGAAAGGTGGTGAGTAGTGAATGAATTAGCATAAAAATGTGGTGAATTTAGAAAACTCATCACCATCAGTAACATTGCGGCCATTCATCACCAAGACGCTGCCCCTCCTCATCTCTCTCACTTATAAACTGGATAAGACGGAACCACCAGAATCTGCAGTGTAATTAAAAACACCAAGTCTCAGTCAGAGAAGAGAGGTGCGGACAAGTAAGATGTTGGGGGTTCGTGTGTTATTGTCGCCTGGGGTAGTGTGTCGTGTGGAGGTCATTAAGTGGTGCGGGGAAGGGGTGTGAGCAGGGGTAGGCGTGGCTGGACAGAGCAGTGTGGGGGGGAGGGGGGGAATCAAAGGTGACGACTCGGGGTGCAATCCTATCGCTATCATTATCACTGCTGCGGGTCTTCAGGCAGACACCTCCCAAGCTGCCACAACAATACACCTTTCAGAAGTCTTATACTGTAGTCTTATAGCTGAGAAGACGTTTGTAGTGAGATGAACATTCCACTCATTGCATTAAGCTAAATTTAGACTTTCTGAAAAGGGGTTTACGTTACAGAGAGAGAAAAAAAGTGTTCTACGATTGTTGTGGTAAGACCGAACACAGCCACAGTCTGAGAGGTACCACAGCATCCTTAAGTAACGATGGAGGTAAAAGAATTGCAGTTCATGTTTACGGGGATCATCTTCCTGCTGACGACGGCCACAGGGTTGATGCCGGTGTTGATGAGAGGGATAGTCTCCAAAAAGATGATGCCTCGCTCCTCCCTCAAGAGTCGCCTCTTATCCTGTGCTTCATGCTTCGGTGCAGGCGTCTTCCTCTTCGTATGCTTCATGGGTCTCCTACCTGCAGCCGACCGCAAGTTCCACCATTTCCTCGAGGTAAGTCTATAGACCAACTTTCTCAACAACAATGAGAGCTTCATTGTCTGATATTAAAAGTGTCATGTCTCAAATCAATGTTTGGTCATAGGCTCATCAGTTAAATAACGCTTGTGTTACATCATATTTAGACATTCATCATACGGATGAGTATGATGTGTTAACAACCTCGTGGAACACACTAAGGTTGTACTGTCTTCTGCCCAGCAACATTACCATACTTCGCACACACACACACACACTTCTTCGTCACAAACTCTTAATGTCTCACTGTTCATTATAACTTCCAGCCACTGATTACAAACAATAACAAATTAGAGAGAAATACTATTACAGTTATTAAAAAACCCGCCAACTTTACCTTTCAAAAGACTCATTTCATCTGATTCTTCTATTTGTGTTTAGCAGGTAACGAGAATGCGTCTGGCTTCTGGTCTCTCTCTCTCTCTCTCTCAGTACAATTCAGAGATCAGTGACCTCATCTGATCTTTCGTAGAGTGACCGGGACATTGAAAAAGGTCACCACAATTACATTAAAAACAAATTATTAGGCAACCGGATAATATTAACCTCGTTATTATGTCATCTCGGTTATTTTCTTTCAAAACATCCAATTCTCCATTTCCCTTTACATTTTCCTCCTCCATCTTCGTTATCATCATCACCACCCCCTTCCTCATAGTCATCCTGTTAAAAAAATGAGGAGAAGAGAGATCATATACATTATACATACCTGTTCGAATATGATCATCTCTCCCTCCCATACTTGCTGAAGGTCGCGGGATATTTGTTGACGTTATTCCCAGCTGGCCTACATACAGTCATCCTGGACAAACTTGTAAACATCATTCACCAACTTAAAAGTCTCCGGCTCTAACTCAACAATGCATCGATAATAGACATGGCTATTCTAGTATACAACAACAATAATAATAATAACAAAACAAAAGAAGAAGAAAAACAAAAGAAAATGAAAAACAATAGACGGAAGAAGACTCGCAATGGGTCATAGTTACGTCTTTGTTGTTATTGTATAGTATACTATTTTGCGGCTTTTAGACTCGTCACTCTTGTCATCAATGGGGCCTCAGAACACAAGCATTTCTAGCCGAGTCATTATCATCTCTTGTGTCTGGGTTAGAGAGTCTGTGGTTGGATTAATCTGATCAACATTCTTTGGTTGTGTGTGTGTGTGTGTGTTAATGTTTCTTTACTGTTAGTACGTCTGTCCACGCCAGAGTTCTTGTACATATGTAAGTATGCAGGATTTTAAAGTATCTGTTTATTTCCTATTGTTTCTAGACCTGTGTCTGTTTATCTGTGTCCCTATATATTTATTTCTCCTTCTCGGATATATATATATAAACATACACAAACAGACACGATAAAGCCACACAAATACAGTCAAACACCGTGCCCTTGTAACTATGTCGCTGCACTACAAACACATTATTCCTCTCTTTAACATTCATTCAAGTCATTTAAAGCTGCTTCTGTTCACTCACCAACAAAAGAACGAACAACATGAACTTCAGGGCAAAGTCTCAGGGAACTTACTCTCAAAGCTTCGTACGTTTGACAAGTTTCCCTAAAGTGAATAAGCAGGATAACATCGAACTAGTTTACTTGCGAGAACATGGCAAGAGTTAAAACATTATAGAGAAGTTGGATTGAAAAGACTCACAGTACATTACACTTCTCACACTTAATGGGATTGTTGTTGTATAGATTTAAAAGTCCGTTCCAGGTTTACGGCTGAATTGATATTGATTTTTGAGCCCACGAACACGCTACTATATAAACATCTTTACATACATACATACATACATTCAAACATACATACATTCAAACATACATACATACATACATACATAATAATAATAATGGATGCCCCTCGAAATCGAGGATGGCCGGCCCAAGGGCCACCTAGGCGTGAATTTGTTTAAGGTGTAGAAGCTGTCGCCAACACAACAACCACACCCTGAGTTAACGAGCTGCATGACCCAGTGTCAAGGAACAGTCCGAGAAGACCGGACAACTCGCCAACAGCACTGGCTAACCATTACCCCGGAACACGATCCGCAAATCGATCAACATCCAGGTTCCCAATTATTGCTGGGTGGACATACATACATACATACCCAGGTAGGACATGCAGCCAATTGGAACACAGGGACAGGACTGACGTCAGTAAGCGGAGCAGCCAGTTGGAATGAATGATGTGCTTTAGACGTTTACATACTCTTAACACGAATCTGCAAACTTGTTGACGTGTTAGTTGACTGTGTGACGTGTTAGTTGACTGTGTGACGTTTTAGTTGACTGCGTGACATGTTAGTTGACTGTGTGACGTGTTAGGTGACTGTGTGACGTGTTAGTTGACTGTGTGACGTGTTAGTTGACTGTGTGACATGTTAGTTGACTGTGTGACGTGTTAGTTGACTGTGTGACGTGTTAGTTGACTGTGTGACGTGTTAGTTGACTGTGTGACGTGTTTGTTGACTGTGTGACGTGTTAGTTGACTGTGTGACGTGTTTGACTGTGTGACGTGACTGTGTGATGTTAGTTGACTGTGTGACGTGTTTGTTGACTGTGTGACGTGTTAGTTGACTGTGTGACGTGTTTGTTGACTGTGACGTGTTAGTTGACTGGGTGACCTGTCCATATTTGATTTTCTAATTTGTGTTATGACATTAACGGGTATGAGGAATTTAAGTATCTCATCTTCTGTATGAACCTTTGTCTCATTGCCAAGGGTTGTATTCACAGTCGTGGCGACTGTGAATACGACCCAATGTTTGTGAGCCAGGTTATCGGGCACCATACGCTTGTGTGGGGCGAGGTCATTCAAGAACGTGCTTACACGATGGGTCTTGATCACGATGAACCAGGCAGGGCTACCAACATTTCATAAATTGGCCCACTGTTACCAAAACCCAGACGTCGAGTACCCCAATAATATTTCGCTCAAACACCAAAAAATGTAACCACCACAAAAAAAAACATCATATGACCAAACGAATATAAAAGAGTTTAGAGAATATCTATGATTATTCTTTAGCGTTTGTGAGGTTGATTTTGAAGGTTAAATTTCACCTTGCGTTGGCCACACTGGGATGGCATACAAGCAGAGCAGGGAGTGAGTTGACACAACAACACGGAGTGATAAGGCACCGGGAAATATGAACAGCCATGTCCTTTAAACAACACAATGCTGTTGTTACTCTTATTCAAGAGAAGGGCAAAGTTATACATGAAAAAGACACATTTTCATCCATCCTGAAATATGACCGCATTTAGCGGTAACGGTTTGCTTATGCGCGCCTGCACGCTCATGATCTAGGGGGAAAATTTATCACTTGTATCACTTGTAAATAACTGACAATATTTGAATGTACATGAAAATAAAACTTTCTCTCATCAACAAACTCATTTTCTATCGGTTTTGAATATATTCTAGCTCAATATATATAAAAATTTGAAGATGAAAAAGGTTCTTAAATTAATCGGGAGTGCCGTCGGGAAGGTACCCCCTCCCGATGAAATGTTCCAACGATCCCGATAGCAAACCCGACCCACCGGAACTGCCTTCAGGTCTGTGGCGTCTCTGAAAGACCTCACGCAATGCTGTTCTCGGTCGGTGGGGTGGTGTAATAACTGAATACGGCCCCCAACTACTACGCTCAGGTATGATCGTACACCAGTCTTGTCCAAATAGTTCTTAAACTAACGCAATCCTCCCCTCTTATCTTCACCAACACTAGGAGCTGGGACATACAGATGAGAGTTGGGAGGCCTTTGCTGAATTCCCGTGGGGATTCTTCGTGGTCACCTGTGGTTTCCTCATCATCTTCACCATCGACAAGCTGGTAAGTATAATATCTCTTCTGGTGGATGATTCAATTAAACATTACGAAAAATGTGATACACAAGAGCCAACAAAATTATATAAATTAGTAACAAAGTAATAGACATGAGACAAGTTGACGTAATAAAGTGAATAAAAAAAAACATAATAATACGTTATTTTATGGTTGTTCATTTCTGACACGTAAAACATTAGTCGATTTTTTTTTATTCATTCCCGAGTCCATTGTCATTAATCAGCCAGTCAGCCATGGTATCATCATCTTCATGTCTATAGGCTGGCGACTATAGCCCTCCACTCTATAAAAGTTTTCGGACTGTCGTTATTAATACTTCATACATTTGTACAGACATTTTGTACCACCAGGTGCATGCCATGGAACACTCCCGGAGCGTAAGGAACAGAGGCTCTGGTCACATCCTACTGAAGAAACAGCCGGAGGACACCTGCACCGAGAGTCCTAATGGCCTAGTTACTAACGACATGAACAATCCTCACAAACACAATCCTCACAAACACTACCACCACCAGGGTAAGCAGGGTGGGGGGAGGGGGGGAATGGCAGGAGGAAAGGAAGAGTAAATAGAGGGAAAAAGTCAAGATTAACGAATGGAAAGAGAATGGATGGTTGGATGGTTGAATTACACAAGGAAGTTTATTTAGATAAATCAAGGATAAGAAGACAGATGGATGAACCAAAGAAGAGTGATGATTAAAGGGACGTGAGAAGACAAGAGACTGGTTGAAGGAATGTTTCAAATCAATAGTTACCACATCAGTCTGTAATATCTTAAATGCATCCAATACACAATACTTTATCGACTGACACAAACTTTCTCCCACAGCAGGTCACGGTGTCCCATCCTCTGTGATCTTCCTGCTGGCTCTGGGGATCCACTCACTCTTCGAGGGGATGGCGGTGGGCCTGCAGACTCAGAAGGAGAAGGTGCTGGAGTTCTCCGTGGCCGTCCTGGTACACGAAGTCGTTATGGCCTTCACGTTCGGCATGGAGGTAAGGAGGAGAATAGAATGAAAGTGTATGAAGGGAGGGTGAGGATGAATGAGGAGAGGCGAAGAGGAGAATAAAATTGCAGAGTAGGATTAGAAGGGGGGAGAAGGTAAATAAATTGAGTGAGGATGAAAGGAGGAGGATGAGAGGATGAAAGGAAAGAGGACGATGAGAAGAACGAAAAAGAAGTAACAGAGGTGTTGAAAAAAGGAGAAAGTGAAGACCTGGTGACAGATAAATTGACCATCAACAGATTAGTCTAAGCAAGAAGACTATAAGTATACGACTTTAGACTAAATGAAGCTAAGATGATAAACAATTAGTCACGGATGAAGGGGGGGGGGGGGACTATGCCCCAAAAAGGCAACACTAAACTAGAAAAGGTTAGGTTAGGCGCTTCACTTGCCAGGGTTATAAAGCCTTGTTCAATTAAGGGTCCGATATACTATCTGTTCCAGTTACGTAGAGTATCTAGCGTAAATGTTTGTGTTTTAAACTATGAATATGTATAAAATTTAGATAACAAATATGGATGATTATAGAATCCGTAGTTAATAAATTAACCCAGTCTTAATTACAAGCTTCTGATTTATCCATTTATGCCTTAACATTCCGCTTGTTGTGCTGTCTTTAGGATATTCTTCATAGCTTCAAAATTTGACTAAACATAGACAATGAAAACAAAAGAAGATAAAAGGTTACTAAACTCATAATCTTTGTTTGTTTTGCAGGTAAGCAAGAGTCATATCTTGAGCAGGTGCAACAAAATCATCTATGTGATGATGTTTACCAGTACCATTCCACTGGGTATCGTCGCTGGTGTGGGTCTTCAGAGTGCTCCTTCAGAAAACAGAGAAATTATATCCGCAGTGCTTGAGGCTTTTGCGACAGGTAGGCACCACACTGGGCACGGTCTTTACCATATTATCCCTCCCTTGTAATCTTCCCCTCTCCTCCTCCTCTGCAATCTCCCTCTTTCCCCCTCCCATGCAATCTCCCCCCCATGCAATCTCTCTTCTCTTCCCCTGCAATCTCCCCCTATCCACCTCTCCTGTAACCTCCCTCTTTCCCCCCTCCCATGCAATCTCTCCTCCCTTCCCCTACAATCTCCCTCTACCCCTCCCCCTTTCACCCTCCCCTTCCTTCCCCCCTCCCTCTTTAAACTAACTAAGGGTTTCCCCCATAAGATATTAAGTTCCTATGCCTATGTGCGTTATTAATATTATATCAGGTTACGCTGCTGTTTATGAACTTGTCAATTGAGGCAAAGAGAAGAAGTTATTCATTGATGTGGCTTTTTCGTAATTTCACCTTCCTTATAATGAAGAGGTTATTTTCATCACCTGAAGATCAGTGCCAGCTAATTTCACCTGTTAGTTAAGTACCTTAACTCCGCGGGGTTAGGTTAGGTTAGGTTAGCGCTGAGGTGGTTAATGTTCAGGTTATACACTCTGATGTTTCTTATCTTCAGGTGATTCGATTAGTTTTTCTAACGGTGAGATAAGTTTACTATTACTGTCGTCTAAAGTTGATAATTTATTGATTACACTTCAGAAAAAACATTTTGTGTCATTCTAATCTGATGTAAGCAATTAACAAGTGAATTACCGAGTTAGTCATATTTCTTCTTTGTTAAATTTCTAAGCTTTCTCTTCCTCCTCTACCAGGTATCTTCATTCATGTAATATTCATCGAGATTCTGGCGAAGGAGTTTCCTGAACACCACCACGACCGCGAAGACCACGACGACCACGACGACCACGACCACCACGACCACCACGACGACCACGACGACCACGACAACAACAACATATCCTCGAAGCCTTCTGAGGTTTGCCTCATGCTGGAGAAGATGGCGTCTATTTGCTGCGGGATCCTCCTCCTTATTCTCTTAAATGTGTTCATGCACGCCCATCACTAGTGCCATGACCCCCACCAGTACCATGTGACACACACCACTAGTGCCATGTAACGCACACCACTAGTGCCATGTGACACACACCTCGACTAATGTTCAGCCCTCCGCTGAGTAGATAGTAACTCGGTGTCTCAGTGCCAGCTCGTGGGTCAGACTGAGCATCAGCTATGGTCGTCTATACTGAGGAGCAACACATGTGTAATACGACTTGGGGGCACTGATGATGTTGTATGATGCTACAAGTTGTCGTAACACCACAACGGCACTGTTTCTCACCATACTTCCTCACTTAACTGAAAATTCACTCCTTATCTCACAATACTCTTAACTAAAGCCTGTATATTATACTGTAGATACTGAAATAATATACAGATCATTTCAAGAATGAAATGTTTGTCGATACTGTGATATAAAAGTACGTCACCTCTCGCAACCTTCCGAGACCAAAATGTCCATTAATAATGGTTGTACCTCAATTTCGATTTCCTATTATATATATATATATATATATATATATATATATATATATATATATATATATATATATATATATATATATATATATATATACTATATATATATATATATATATATATATATATATATATATATATTCTCCATACTCGCGCGCGCACGAGAGAGAGAGAGAGAGAGAGAGAGAGAGAGAGAGAGAGAGAGAGAGTCTACTTCCTCAGGGAGGTTCAGCTCAAGGCAGCTCAAGGAAGGTTGCTGATGAGGAAGTCAGTACCCAGCCCGCTTCTTAGCTGCAAATTTTTGTCTTCTTTTACCGAAAATCAACTTCCAAACATTTATGATAAGTTCACTGCCCTCTGGTAATTTAGAGGTTTATTTTGATAAGGAGCTATAAGAATAAGTATTCGTATCAACACTTGTCATTTAGCCATCCCGATACTGGCGGGTTTTAAGATGACTGGTTTCATAGCGCCAGCCTGAGACAATAACCTTCTCTGGCTTGTTTTTGTTTACGCCAGTAGCTTACTTGGGGTGTCGCCTGGCAAGGGTCTGTGTAGAATTGACTTAGGTCGTGTTTGTGTTGGTTCATTATCCTAACGTAATCCTGTTTACAAATTTGGGTAACACGAAGGTATGAACTCCGTGGGAACGAACAGGTGGACAGGTGCAGAAAATGCGTTATTTAAAACATAAGGGAAAAAAAGCTTTATTGACTATAAAAAAAGTATTTGGGAGTTCTGGCCAAATTATTCATATTGGCCAAATAACAAATGTGAAATAAGTCTCTTTGTAAATAACAGATCATCAAATTAATATTTGGACTCGTGTTGGCTTAAAGTCGTTTACCTTAACACACTCGTCCGCTGCCTCTGTTTGTATAATGTAACATAGGGAGTGGTAAGACTTATGATTCGCTTAATGGTGTTGAAGTACCGACCAACGGTATGAATGATTGCCGAGTGTAACGGGGTGGAAGACATACATTTTTCCACAAAGAAGAAAGGCCACTAGTGGGGCACGAGTGGTGGGCCACCACTCGTGCACGCGATCATCATGTGTTGCACGCGGAACTAATGCGTTCATTCAAATGACCTCAGTTCTTTAGTATGACTGACACTGAGCACTGATTGACTAATGGATATATGCAGTGTCTGTCAAACTAGTCAATTTATGTAGTAATAATGATAAATGCGGCGACCTGTGGTGTAATGGTCAGTTTGCTCGTCTCGCAAGCGAGCGGACCCGGGTTCGATCCCGGGAAGGTTGAAACTAGGAGCAAGTTTCTTTACGCCATTTGCCTCTGTCTACCCAGCAATAATTGGGAACCTGGATGTTAATCGATTTGCGGATCGTATTCCAGGGTAATGGCTAGCCAGTGCAGTTGGTGAGTTGTCCGGTGTTCTCGGACTATTCCTTGACACTGGGTCATGCAACTCGTTATCTTAGGGTGTGGTTGTTGTGTTGGCGACAGCTTCTACACCTTAAACAAATTCACGCTTAGGTGGCCCTTGGACCGGCCATCCTCGTTAGACGAGGATGATAACTGAGGAATATTTTTTCTATCCTTTATAAGCTTTTTGTAAATATGATAATAAAAACAAACAAATATTTGTAGTTTACTTCACCAACAGTTGGGTATCACAATTAAGATGCATTAAGCAACCAGGGTACATACTGTACATCATTTGTATGTAACTTCTGTGGCCTCGGGGACGCCATGTGCGTGCCAGGATTTGCTGACTGTACGCCCCTTCTAAACGGAGTGTCAGATAAGTCTTCTCTGTTATTTACAGAGGCTGCAGGTAAGCTTAAGAGTGACCTGACCTCTTCCTTACCACACTTTGAGTCATTTAAGATGCACATGTTTAAGGATGAATAAATACTTTTATATAGGTTTTGTTTATCTTTCAACCTTGGTGTGTTTCTTGATGATTTTAACGGAGTTGTGATCTGGGAGAACACGTTTATTTACCTCTTTTTTTACACCTCAGCTTCTCTCTACCGTTTTTAAACATTCAATTGCCTTCTCATCTTCTCATCTTTATAAAAACTCTTACTCTACCTTGCCAACAATAAGTATGTGGTGTGTGTGCAGAGTTCTGCACAATGGCACCCAGTCTGAGTTCTTCACTATCCTAACGGGGGTAAAACAAGGATGTGTACTGGCACCAACTCTCTTTTCCATTTTCTTGGCTGCCTTCCTTACTCATGCCAGTACCAATTTAGCCGGCGGGGTGGACACCCAGTAAGACGACTCCAGACAGGAACAAAGGTGTCGGCAGCTTCCATTACTGAATTTCACTTTGCAGACGACCTCACCCTTGTCGCTCACACTGAACGTGACCTACAGGAGATCCTGAACACCTACGCAGATGCGTATGCACATTTCGGCCTTAAATGTGAATTGCACGTAAGACTCAGATTCTCTTTCAACCTGCCCCTGGTACAGCCACACCTCCACCATCCGTCCAGCTAAACGGTACTACCCTCTCTAATGTTACCCACTTTCAGTATCTCAGCTCCTACCTGTCCACCACCGCAGACATCGATGAAGAGATTTACATCGGATCAGATGTGCATCTCAAGCCTTTGGCAGAGTCCGTACCCGTGTCTTCAGCTGTAAGGAGCTGAAGTTATCTACAAAGTTGCAAGTATATCGAGCAGTGGTCCTCCCCACCCTGCTATATGGCAGCGAGACATGGGTCACATACTGTCTGGTATAGAATCAGCAAACCACACAGTTTAGTTGTGCCAAACAGTGAGGTTTGGTACCCCCAGTCCACCCAGTTGTAAACGGGTACCTAAATTAACAAATTTGGGAAGTGAAGGCCGTCGACTACAGTGTTGGCCATACTCTGTCTCCATGTGTACCGAAGGCTCAGTATACACGACTTATAGATAGCTTGCCACCTGACATCATTGACTAATATGTTATCCACATTAAATATTGCTAGCCAGTCGAAGCAGTGTGCCATAGTATACCAATTGCAGTGTCCAGTTGCCAGGAGGTAGAGACATACAACAACCCAATACAAATCACAGGAAGAGAAGGGAGTAATTTTCTGTATTTACTGACCTTTGAATATTGAATTGTGAAAAAGACTAACCAGTTTCAATTAGTCTAAAACCAGACACGACAGGGAGGACCTCACGGAGACATTCAAAATCTTGAAAGGGAAGGAAGACCTAACCCAGATAAATTTTTTGCGGTGTCAGACGCCACAAACACAAGAGGCCAGCTCACCAAGTTGTCATGCAGAACGAATAGAATAAAGTCCTTCACAAAGACGGTGGTAGGCCTACGGGACAATCTACCAGCTGAAACCGTGGAAGTAAGAATGATACTGGGCTTCAAGATAGCCCCCAACTAGACTAATAAGAACAATAGGGGGATCCCATATAAGCCATCAGCCTACTTCCCTGTCTTGGCCACTTCTTGTTAAGGTGACCGTCAGGTAAATCAGGTCCATTAGCGTGTTGCGTTTGGAACATTTAAAGTCATAAATCTATCTGGATATCTTAGAGATCTGTTGTTAAATGATTGGACACCTTATTTTCACTGTACAGTGATTGTAGCCTTATGTGCTATTTTCACCATACCTAACGTAACATAATCGTCGTACGTAGGGTGATTGTGGCTTCGGACCCACCAAAATAAAACCCACAGCACTGTGAAAATAATACTCGGTACTATAACCAGCACACGGTGAAAACATTCACTTCATAATCAATTAGTCACCCTAACCCCACAGAAGAGCCCCAATGGAAACTTGTATAATGATTTCACTTAATAAGAATCTTTTGTCTATGTGTTGAGAGGATTGCTTATAATTCTGTAATAGTTACTCTTCAAATACAAGTCATTCATTCTCGTTTTTTCTTACTTTGTTTTCTGTAGTAGAAAATGATTGTAAAGCATACACTGTACTATTTAAATAATCTTACTAAATAAATGCAATAAACTAAAAATTATAATCCTAAAGTTAAGATAAATTGTGTAAACAAGCCCTGTTAATGTTACCATGCGTTTGGCAGAAAATTCGTCCCTGTCAGAATAATACTTGTTAGAAATAGTCCAACTCAAGTGAACCGTAGAATTAATATCAGACTCCACATAGCATAGAAATAAACATCCTAATCGACGTGTCACCGGGATCTACCACAGGCGATAAATACCTAACTGGCTTCTTAGCACTACCACACAGGCTACACATCTGGCTGATCTCACGTACGGTACTCCATACTTGCTATACACATGGCTGGTCTTATATCACTGTCACACATGTACACACACACACATCTAGCTAGTGTGGCGGAGATGTGTAAGTCTTCCCACGCCCTCTCCACCTTCAGTGCTTCTCTCTCGTGCCCATCACATCTTTCCAACGCCTTGTTGAAACTGTGTGGCTTGTCCTCGCTCCGTGTTTCACATACTGTATCAGTGTTTTTCTTCTCCACCAACTGTTTCAACTCTCAACCCCTCCCTGTTGGCTTATGTTTGTTTTTATGAGATTTTTAAGTAATCAGGGAGAGATATGTTTTATGCTTTTTATTTAAACAATGGCACGCGCGTTTATGTGCGTGTGCAATAATAATAATAATAATAATAATGCTAATAATGCTAATAATAATAATAATAATAATAATAATAATAATAATAATAATAATAATAATTATAGTAATAATAATAATAATAATAGTAATAATAATAAAAATAGTAATGGAAGTATTACGCTTATGCTAATCGTGGAAGCCAACTGCTTGTTTGGTTGTGGACTAGTTTAGTGACGTATGAGCGGATCGTTGATGAAGCTTCGAAACTCATGACTATCTTTCGTTAACAATTATCAGTTTTATTTTAGCTAATGGTGGATAGAAGTGATTTAAGAAAATTAATGAGATTATAGATGACGGACCAATCGTGTATGGTGTTCTTTCCGCCGTCCAGTCGATTATTTTCATATGAATCAGTAAATCGAACCAATGAATTAAGGAATCGAAGCACCTCGGG